GTAATGTATGTAAGGGACAAGCCCACCCTCTTAGAAACCAAGGTGCCGGCGTGCCGCCGAGTGATAGATGGTGACATCGGGGATAAGTGCACGTGCCACTCTTGCTTACTATTACCAAAACGGGGCATAAATTTATATCGAGCTCTAACAAGAACTGAATACCGTAGACCCATCGACCCAGAGACAGTATTCGAACATTCCTCCGAAAAAAAAAAGGCACAAACTGCCCAAAGATCCTCGTACCCCAATTCACATTCCTCTGCCCTGTCTCCATCCCCCACACTCTACCACATGACGTTTGCGGAGAATAATGCCATGAGTAGAAAGGCCCAATATGCTCCCGTTCTCAACACATCAGGGGACCTCAGATTTCAAATTACTCAATCTTAATCCAGAGGAGGTGGTGACCCAGCCTTGCCGTAGGGTTTTAGGCAAAGACGACAAGGGAGGACAGCTGGGGGAAAGGGTTCCAAGCCAACCATTATAATAAAACAGAGTACTCCGGGCCAAGGCGTATCAAATATACTATACATATAGGCTTGCTCTGTCAATAACCCCCTCTCCCAGCTCGTTCTGGAGACGTGTCAAGTTGGCTAGAGCTCTCTGAGTGACCGCGGGTGCCTTGGTAATACCATGGGCTAGTAATAGCATTCCGCACACAACTGCTCCACCACTGGTTTGAAAGTTTCTTTTTGAAAGCCTTGAGGTGGTGAAAATGCTTGGATCTAGAGACAGACCATCATCTACCCGACAAGAGTTCCCCAAAGTTAGAGAGGAAGCCCCGGGCCGACTCACCGCTGCCTGGTTTACCTTGGCATGAGATATGACGGATAGATTCCCGTAGAAGGACAAGGTGTATGCGGCCGTGGTAGGAATGCTAGAGACCATCGCTCCCTCATGAATAGCCAACCACCAATAATACTGCAACGCATGATGGATACACCCTCCCCAAGCACAGTAAGCACCTAATACCAGTATAACAAAGCCTAATAACCCCAACAGCTCGTATTCCGTACTTGAAGCGAGAGCCCGCAGCAAAAAAAAAAACAACCCGTACGATGGGAGCAGCAGTCGAAAGTTCTCAGCCTAGGAACGTCCATTAAGGTGGTGCGTACCGACCCTACACCAGAAGCATAACAGTTAGCCCTCCCAGATACTCCAATCAGTGCCTTGCGAACAGCACACTCGCCCGCGAGAATACGAGGAGCGTCGGCCGCGGTCTTTCGAGAACTGCACTCGTCTGTGAGAATACGAGGAGCGCTGGCTGTGGTCTTTCGAAAATCACAGGACGATTGGGAGGGCCTATTTCCAGTGTAAGCCTTGCCACAGATACCCTACAGCTCTGTGAACATTCTGGATGGTGGGAATTACTCACCCCTAATAGCACTATCGGCGCCTCACTACTTCAGCACTCTCTTACGGGTTTCTTGCAAACACCGTGCTGTCATAGCTGCACTATTTTGTCTGCTGTAAAGCATGCCCTCCATAGCCCCTTCCGGTAGCCCAAAATGATTGCAGTTATCATACGGGACCACCGTAGAGAAGAGTACATAGCTGGTTCCGGGGGAGTGAGCGGGTGGTGGGGGCTCGGGGGGTAGGTCTTCCTGATCAGCCCAGACTGTGCTATCTACCAAGACTTTCGGCGCACACCGAAGGCGCCCTCTCCCCTGCCTCACGTCCTCCAGCCCACAGGTAGGTATTTCCACCTTACACCCATCCTCTACTCACAACCCATTTCACACCAACCGGTATTCCCACGCTTGCAGTGGGGGCTAGTTGGGCTCATCCAGAACTCCACCCACCCAGGCAGAGCCGATACCCCAGAAGCAACATGACATTTCGCTCCAAGCCCCCGCTCCCTCGCCCCCGAAGCAACCCCCTCCACAGACCTTTCCAATACATCAGGCTCTAGGAGAAAGCATCACAGAGAAGCCCTTTACTCACTCGCCTATTCGTTATTCGCGCGGCCCCAAAGAGACACCAAGACCCCCCCCTCCTCCTCGCCCGCCACGCCCCATTACCGACACTCCTCAAGCAGAACCCTGAGCTCTGTATCTATCCCCCCGCCAGGACTTCACGATGCAAAAACCGCAAGGCACAGAGGACGACAGCACCGGGTTCTACTCGACCCCTCTCAAGCCCGGTCGAAACCACCACCTCTTCGCACTCACCATTCTACCCTCTCACCTTACCCCCTCGCCTTCTTACTTACCTTCTCACCTTCCTCCCCCTCCCCCTCAGGGCTTCTCCCTTCCCCCGCACCCACTAAAACTCCTCCCCCAACCCCACATCAACCTCACCACCATCTCCCCCCCACCCAAAAACGTCCGTCGTCACCCACCACCCCACTCACTCCCTCTCCCCCCCTCCCCTCGCTTACTTACTTGCCAGCTGATCCACCCACCCACCCCTCATCCTTCCCACCGCCGCCACCACCATCACCACCACCACCACCACCACAAAATGATCCCTCACAAGCCACAAAACCATCAAGTACAGTACCAACCCCACATGCCGAACATCATTTCACCAGACACTTCATTCGTCCGCCGCATCGGCCATTTGAGTACTACGCTCCACCATTTCCAAAACCTCACAAGGGTTACAACTCCAGGGCCCAAGTTAAGGTAGTTCTGGAAAGATTTGGCGCTTGTGGGATTGCCAATCGTGCCATAACCGTATCACCATTCCGAAAGCTCCTGGGGACCGCCGAGCCCCGCATGCCCATTTTAGCTGATCCGCTGTGCGCACGGAGAGCCTGTGACTGGCTCGGCATCGCCGGAATGTGGTGGGCCAAAGGCAGGGTGGAGGGAGATGCGGGGGGCGAGGCGGGATTTGTGTTCGAGGGGATTTATTTGGTGGATGTTTTGTTTGTCCGTTCATCAGACTTTTTGGTGAGTGGGTGGGCAGGGCTTGTGCTCTAGTGTTTAGAGAGCAAGAGGCTGGGAGAGAGTAGTAGTTTGGACGACGCGTATGCGCAACAGATTTTCTACATTACTCTAACCCCGACCCACTCCTAATACTTCCCGCATTTAGGCAATAAAGTTATATATATGCATACATGGCATAAGATACGATTATTGCGCCCAGAAAGCAAGGATAGGAGAATAATGAATGAGATCATGTCCAGCGCAGAAGATTATCGAGCCCGGCCTTCGAGCAAAATCACTCTCGATCCTAAGCGCGATAACCCGTGAAAGCCATACCTCCAGTGCGCGCTGTGAGTCTCATCCCAATCACGTACTGTCACTCTCGGTTCAGTCAGCACATGGCACACCAGTATTTAATTAAACAAGGATTTTCCGCGTAAAAATTCCTTCCGGTTCTAGATCTCCTTTTCGCTGCGTACTAGTAACACGGTGCACCCCCACAAGCGACCGTTATCAGGTCCACTGAGGTGAAACTCCGTAGCCCAATTTGTTCAAAGTAGAGTAAGCGGTGCGCAGGATCCTGAGCGCCCGAGATGAAAACAATCAACGCCTAATTGAGTGCGATGAAACGTAATAGACATAAATATAGCCCCCCCCCCCCCCCCCTTGAATCGCGAACCTGCCAAGGGTGAGTCCGTCAATCTCACCAGCGCACAGTCGGAGCGTAGAAAGACTCAATTCGCTGCCCACGCCGAAAGAACCCATGAGCAAACAAGACATCCGGAAGGGTTGTTTATAGTAGCCGCAATTGTAGCAGTACTATCGCATAGTAAGCAAACTCAAAAAACCAGCCAGTTCTTCAATACCATACACCCCTAGAACCTTCCTCTTTTGAGGCTTGAAGTGATGTTCTCCGCGTTTAGACCAAAAACACATCACCTCAGACCAGATAAGTGGGTTTGGCAGGCATTCCAGTGGATTTCCAAACTTATTGCCCTGCAGTTCATCATTTAAAGCAATCAAAAACAGCATGAATGATCAGAGAAAGGGGACAAAAGAGGAAGCTGAACGCCCTTCCGCCGTGCTACCACGAGACCCACTTCCATGGGCCAACGACGGGATAAATTGGTAGGAATTGTCAAATAAGAGATGAGAAGCCCCAGGCTCAAGAGAAACGGTATACGAGCTCACAATTCTCATCCCCCCTCTCGCCCAAGATCCTCTCGAGCTACCGTAAACAGTTAAATGCGAAGCAAGCACAGAGTCCGGCGTGCCGAACCCCTTTCCCCGCCCTCAGGAGCAATATTGGTACGTGAATCCGGGGGGGAGGGGTGTCGCTTGCAGCCAAAGTTCAGGCGTGATGGGGTGGAAAAAACCCCCAGGCTTGACAGACCAAACTCCATGCGCAAAATACGAGAGAGCGCCCCCTAAATAATACCCCCCAGCTCCGGCAGGCTCAGTGATCGCACTAAGGGGCTAGCGGACTGAGGTTGCGCCCATTCCATTCAACTACCGTACCAGGACCCGACCCCCAAGAGGCGCGTTAAGGGCTCGAAGTGCGATGATCGGGCAGGGAAAAACAACGGAAGAGCTGATCAACACAAGCCACCCTGCCCGATGAGGGGTAAGGAGGGGTGGAGGTGAGTTACGGAGGGAGCCGAGATGAGTGTCTTAAGCGATAGAGGAACGGGAGCACCGTCCCGGCCCCACCATGGGAAACATCCGAATTTTTTCTAGACATTTGTGGAAGAGGTGAGACAAATGCAAATGGGGGGGGGGGGGGCACTTATGCAAGACGGTCCAGATGTGGAACATGAGAACTCCACGTACCGTGTGTGTTACTACCGCCGTTATCTCGAATGTCGTCCTACAGAATTCGCAACCAGTATGATACACAACATACGATACGTCCTTTGTGATGAATAACGGTGCCAACACAGGATGATGAGCCATTGAGCGCCACTAGAGGGGTACCGAGATGTTGGAGTGTTGTTGAACGAACATTCGTTACTCTCATACCATAGTACTATTACACGTCGCCTCACATCCTATCACTCGATCAACCCAGGCCCAGTCCGCTCGCGTTCTATGAAAAAAGCAAAAAAAAAAAAAGGCAAAAAAAGGCAAAAAGGCAAAAAGAACAAACCCATCCCCTAGCATCATGATATGTGATATTTCGAAAAGAAGAAGAAAAACCAAAGGCGGAAAAGAAAAGTAACGACCTACATCTAATCATCAGTTTTTCCTCCCCCTCCCTCGTCCCCTACCGCTTGCCTTTTTCTTGGCTGATCCCGCCGTCGAAGAGCTACTTCTATCCGTAACTGGGCTCTCACTACGCCTCCGCCTGGTTTCCTCCAGAGCACTGGTGGTGGACCCAGAGTCCGATATTTCACCAGATGCCGCGCTTGCAGATCGCAGTCCTGGCGCCAGGTTGGGCCGTCTCTTCGTTACCAGACTGCCCTTTCTCTGTCTTGTCCCCGCAGGCGCTATCCCAGAATCAGGCTCGGGCGTTCCCGCACGGGAAGATACAGAGGGCGGGCGAGACGCCGAATTCCTTCTGGTTCTTACGGAAGTCACCACGGGGTCAAGCTGAGGAGGTGGAGGCGGGGGTGTGCTTGACTTGGACTTGCTCTTGTGCCAGCGATAAAGCTCTTTGCGGTGGTTTGCCCGGATCTCATTCTCACGCCCCCAATACTCTGCCCTGTATATCTCCCATCCCTCACGGAAGTCCGGTGTGAACCTCTTGGGCAGGATAACGATTTTTAGGTGAAGGCCCCCGGGTAGATATTCTTCCACCTCATCGTTGTCGCCATCTCCCACGGTTTCCTCCATAGGTGGAGCCAGCAACGACGAGCTTTTCCCACCAACCATTGTAGCGGATATGGAGGCCGTGTGACCGTGGTTATGTATCGGAGGTGCAGGCCGTCTCGCGTGAACCGAGGATGTCCTCCTCTTGGCAGTCGAAGCACGTCGAGCCGGCGGTAAATGTGGCGAAACCGGAGGAGGACTAAACGTGTACCAATCCCACCACCAAAGCACCCATTCCCTGTAGGACAAGGGAATCTTCACTAACTTGACATTAAATCCACGAAGGCCCCGATTGGCTAGGTAGACGAATCGCCGCGGCTCGACGATGGACCTGTGGTAGAGACCCGTAGCGTAGTATAGACATCCCGTCACAACGCCCCCACCGAAGCCGATCCTCTCAAGAAGGGATAGGTAATAATAAGGAGAGCGGCCGAGGAAGAATAGCCGGTAGAAAAAGAAGCCCACCCACAAAGACAGCAACAGGAGAAAGAAGGTAGATTTGCGACGTCGAGCCAGGTGATGCAGATACTGACTCCGGAGGGAAGCTTCCAATATAAGAAGATTGAGATAAACCTGTGGGGGTGAACACGGGGCAGAATCGAGCAGATTGCCCGGGGGTAGAGGAGGACGCGGACGGGGGACAGAAGAAAGGGAGGAGAGCGGAGACGATGCTGGCGGCGGAAGGAGAGATGACGACGAGGAAGAAGGCAGGGAACCCTTGACGGCAAGGTCCAACTCGGGGTTGTCGGTTCCACGGGACGTCATGGGCGGTGAATGACGATGTTCGGGGCCGGACTACCGATTCACGGGGGACAGCATGGAGCTGAACGGGGACGGAAATCAGCGAAGCGGAAAAGGGGGGGAGGGGCTCCAAGATGCGGCTCAGCCGAGCGGTGTCAAACAATTGAAGGGCTGGCGATGGGGAAGGTTGGCGGGAAAATGTTCTTTACAGCAGATTTCTTTTCATCTTCTTTTTGGGGGAGGGTATGACATGTTGACGGATGATGCTCAAAATCGGTATGGGCACTGAGTTGGATATGATACCATTACCGTGATGGAACAGACACGTGCTTGCACAACAGGGAAAAGCTGTCTCACATGAGCACAGCAGATACAAGACCAGTGCGGTACTCGTACGGTGCACTTTCAAGCCGCACCGTACGGGTACAGTACCACACACCATTCCGTACCGTTCCAGTACCGTATGATACGGTCCACCTCACTCTACCGTACTGTAGTCCTCACCCAAAAAGAAAAAAAGAAAAAAGGGCATAAGTTAGCTTACTTAAGCTTACCATATCACATGACAAAGTTCCGCAGATGGTCCATCACACTCGTAGTCTACGAGTACCCCTGAACGGAGATAGGGGAGAAAAGGCGGGAGAGTCGAGTGGCCACGGAGGCTTCTAAACTTAGCCCAACGGGCAAACAGTATCCCGCGCCGACTCCGCCCCAGCACTCTCTGCTTCCGCGGCACACTCTCCCACCCGTATCTCAGCATCACAGACTATCAACCAGAATCCCATTCTTCTCACCGTCCCCGCATTCCACTGCTTGCCGCGCGTCCCCCAGGGTATGTTCGCATAGTGGTACTGTAACGTGGAAGGGTTTGCATTCTCACCCCCTCCTATCCCCTGTTACCGGTACCGATCAAACCTCGCTGGTATCAAAGCCCCCCTGGATATATAACGCCCTGCTCCCACCTCCCTCGATAGCTGCCAACCTGCCCCCAAACTCCGTTCGCTTCCCTCCCCGTTCACTCTCGACCTCTGTTCCCCTCGTTCTCGCCCATCCGTACATCCTTGGGCCCGATACTTCTGCATCTCTACACCTTTTCCAAGCAAGGCGGCAGCATCCGATGGCGCCCAGACCGTCTGATGGCGAGTTCCAATCGAGGGCCCAGCAGAGCCCGTTGGCCTCCCAGCGACCTCCCGAAACTCAGGGGACGGCTTCGGAGGGAAAGACCACGAAACTTCCAAGCAACTTGTTTCCGCTAGGGTATAAGGAAGGATTCACCCAATGGGTATCACACACTCCCCTGACTCGTAGCTTTTCCGGATCCCCTCTGATGATTAGTAGTGGACGGCGGTATCTCCCACGGTTGCTGAATCTACGGTTCTTGGGTTCCTGCCCTTCAGCAAAAAGCCTGCTCCGGCCACATCTACGCAGGAGGGCCACGCGGAAGCTACCGCCAACCCCCCCTCGGCGGATCAACACGGTCCACGAGAATGTGCTTCGAATTTGGTCCCACTCTCGGGCAAGAATCGCGCCATCAACGAGTTCAGTATAACTCGCACCGCTGAGGGAACACCAGAGAACCACCTGGTTATGCTCCACGGCTACGGCGCGGGCCTTGGGTTCTTCTACAAAAACTACGACCACCTCTCTCGAAGGCCTGGATGGAAACTTTGGTCCCTCGATCTGCTCGGCTATGGCCGTTCCTCCCGGCCCCCTTTTATGATCAAATCGAAGGATTCCGAGGGGAAGATCACGGAGGCGGAGGAATGGTTCATTGATGCTCTGGAGGAGTGGCGGGAGGTCCGGGGAATTGAACGATTCACACTCATGGGGCACAGTTTTGGTGGTTACCTTGCGGTGCGGTACGCCCTCAAGTACCAGAACCGCGTGAATAAGCTTATCCTAGCCTCCCCTGTGGGTGTTCCGGAGGATCCCTATGCGGTCCGGGAAGAGCTCCCGGATGAGGGCGCTGGGGGGGGTAAGAGTGCCCTTAGCCAAGAGTACATGCAAACCCAGGGGGAAGCAACCCGAAGCAACCCGAACCTCCCTGATTCGCACAAAGCCCCAAAGGATTCATATTCATCCCCCTCAGCCCCCGTGTCGGCATCCGCATCGACGACCTCGTTGGGTGGCAAAAATGTCAACGCACCAGCACCGAGGAGGCCTCTCCCTAAATGGCTAGTATATCTTTGGGATGCGAACATTTCCCCTTTCTCGCTCGTCCGTTGGTCGGGGCCTCTTGGCCCTCGACTGGTCAGCGGCTGGACATCGCGTCGTTTCAACCAGCTCCCCCCAGACGAATCCCGCGCCTTGCACGACTATGCGTACTCGCTCTTCCGCCAGCGCGGATCGGGAGAGTATGCCCTTGCCTATATTCTAGCACCTGGGGCGTACGCCCGACGCCCCCTTCTCTGGCGCGTCCAGGACCTGGCAAAAGTCAACAGATTCGGTATCCCGAGTGTTTGGATGTACGGCGAGATGGACTGGATGGATATTGCTGGCGGATACGCGGCGCAGGAGAAGATTCAGAACACGTCTGTAGAGGAGGGGCCCAGTTGGATCGGCGGTGAGGAGTGGCGTTCAGGAAAGAAGGGCAGGGGTGGCGAAGCGAAGGTTGTTGTGGTGAGGAATGCGGGGCATCATCTCTACCTGGACGGGTGGAAGGAGTTTAATGGCTTGGTACTGAAAGAGATGGAGGACGTGGAGAAGCGAGAGAATTTGAGGGGGAGGGTGGCATAGGTTATAGGGGTGGTTGAAGTGATCTAGGGTTTGGTGTACGGTTCTGCGGTGTGGGGATTTTTTTCCTTATTTTTTTCTTTTTTTTTCTACTTTATGGGTGGTCTTTGTATGATATGAGCGTTAGTATAAACATCTAAATTTCCGATAGACTAGTGGGATTCCTTGGGAGATTAACGCGGGGTTGGGCTATGGCTGGCCCTTCAACTAAGGTCAAGCAACAGCCAAGATCCAACAGATCACGAACTGTACTCGAGTACTCTACAGTACTGTATAGTACTCGTACAGTCCGATGGTAATGTGGAAAATGCGCGCCAAAAACCCACAGTGGCGGCATCTATGCAAGCCCTTGGAAATTCCACCGCACGCTATCGTACCGCACTACACACCACCTCCGCCATGAGTATCACCGGCCGGCGAGCAGGGTCAAATTCGACCTCACCCTACTCTACTGTGCGATAATCCAGGGTATGCGTTCACCGAGCCGTCCTGCCGCCTCCGCCGCCAATAACGCCGGCAATCTACCCACTCACGGGCCCCACCCATCCACAGCCAACCAACTCCTCCACCGAGAAACAAACAGATTGAAAACCAATCGGCGAACACACCCGCCAACCCAACCCAACTTCCCCACGACACTGTACGGCATCATACCCTACTGTGGGTAAAAAGATCTTACCCCATCCAATCTTTCTATTATTATTATTACCATTTTCACCCACGGGAGAATAGATACGCCCACACGTGGATTCAGCGACACCTGTGCCATGGAATTTCCACCGAACTTCCACGGCTCAAGGCGAGGCGATTGGAGGGCGATTCCGTGTGGGTGGTGCAGTGCAGTGCATGGATTGGCCGTGTTGCGCCGGTGTTGTTGTGCCCAGTTGGGTTCGGGAACAAATCCCTGTACTGCAGTCTACCGCTGCGCTACGGTACCCTTACTCGAGTACAGAAAGTTAATCGCCGTGCGTGTGTGTGTGTGAATGCAGGGTTAATCTCCGAGATGTTGCGCACGAGGGCTGGTGGCCATGATCGATTACCGTACCGCTACGGTATGCACGAGCACATACAGTACGTCATGATAAGAACGACAGGCAGGCAGGCGGGGAGGCACGCGGAGGACTTAATAATAAGGAGGATAAAACGACAACAACCCCCCCCCCCACGCACCGATCCATAAAACCTTCCTTCTACGAGCAGCACCGTAAAATACAATACAATACGATACCAGTACGGCACATAATCACCACATCACAACCGTACTAGTATATTACAGTACAGTACACCTTTTCAATCCCCATACATACCTCAAATGCCACCCCACAACCCTCTACCACCATCCCTCCTCCTCTCCCTCATCCTCCTCCCCCCCACAATCCTGCTGCTCTGCAACATCGCCCTCATCACCACCCTCCTCTCCAGCCTCGTTCTGCTATCCCGTGTGCTCAGGGTGTACTTGGATGTTGGCGTCGCGATACTGGTGGAGCGGTGGAGTTCCTCGTTCCGCTCCACCGCTCACGCACGCGAGGAGGAGAAGGTAGTGGTGGAACTTGGTAGGTCATGCGGGGGGCAGTTGCCAGGGGAGGAAGAGGAAGAGGAGGGGGACGAGGAGACGGCGGTGGCGCCGGTCGGGAGGGTGAATTATGCTACGTTGATTAGACCGCTGCAGCCGGTTTCTAGGTTGGGGGTTGGGAGGGGTTTTGATGGCCGTGGTGGGGATTTGGGTGGGGGGAAGGTGTTATTATAATATTTGGATGCAGCAAGTTATTGGCGAAAAGCGCTGACTGGCAGGTGGGAAAGTCATGTCGGGAAGGGAAGGGAAGGGAAGGAAAGTAGATGGAAAAGATATCACATCTATTCATTTATTCATTCATTCACTTGTTCAGAAACACAGTATAATACACGACAGCTCCCCCATCCAAGCTAGAATCTAACATATGATAACGCCCTAACCTTACGACTCTGCTCATAATACGCATCCAATTTCTCCGACTGCTCCGCAATGTCCGAGTCGTGCGTTTTATCCGTTTCGAGGTCCATCTCGCCCTATAACCCCGTTAGCCTCGAGCTGTGTCCCGAGAGGTACACATCGGCACTCACAGCAGTAACAAACTTCGTCCCGTAGAGTATTTTATACCCGGAATACAAGACCACCAGCAGCGGGATCCCGATGCAATTCTGGAACCACTGTGCGGCATCCGCACTTCCCGTGACCGGCGAAGCGCTGACGTAGATGTGGCAAGCGAGCATGAAGAGTAAGGAGATGAACCCGAACGCTGGGAGCCAGGGCCTGAACGAGGCCTTGTAGGTGTGCTTGAGGTCCAGGAGGTTGAGTCCCTGGGCCTTGATCCCGGCGCGCCAACGCCAGTTGCTGGCGATAATCGTGGGCCAGCAGGCCAGGAACGCTATTCCTGAGAGCGAGTGAAACCAGCCGAACGCTGTGGCGGCAGAGGCGGAGCAGTTCATGTAGGATAGACCGACGGCGACGAAGGTGGTTGCAATGATGGCTCGGACACTATAATCATCAGCTATCACTCTTTGCTCGTTCACGCCTAAAACTTTCCAGATCAGGTGGCAACAATTATTATTATTATTATTATTATCACCACCGTCGGGGGGTAGAGGGGTGTCATACGGTCTGCCACGTTCGTCCACCTTTCCGAATCCCCAGCGAGAAGAAATAAGGCCCGTCTCGGTCATGTTGTAGAGAACCCTGGACGCAGTGTAGACGCTCACACTGCCAACGCTAGAAACGCACAGGAGAACAATGGCGTTTAGCACATCTGGAAGAACTCCAATTCCGGCCTCCTTGATGGCTATGACGAAAGGACTGGCCTCGACGGCGCCGCCGGACCCGGATCCCAGCAAAGCCGGATTTCTCGCGGACACGACAAAGGACAGGAAGAGAAGCGTGACGACGTAGAAGAAGACGATGCGGAACATCAATGTGCGAACAGCGCGGGGCATGGCGATCATGGGATCTTTGGTCTCACCGCCCGCAACACCCGCAACTTCTGTCCCGCCGCACGCGAACGCAGCCGTTACGAACACGCTCGAAAGACCTTTCTCAAACCGATTAGTAATAGGATTCCCGGGTGGGGAGGGCAAGGTGAGGTAAGGGACTCATGGTCATGTTACCCTTGAAACCGTTGATAATCGCGCCCTCTGCCCAATACTCTCCACCGTGAACCCTCCCGTTCGGTCCTCCACCTCCCATAATGACCCAGATCACGACAAGGAACACCAAAATGCTGACCACCTTAATACTACTAACCCAAAACTCTATTTCTCCGAAGACGCGAACCGGGCAAATGTGGATCAAGATCATAATAACGTTAAAGACACTTATGAGGATCGCTGCATGGCCTGGGTGATCACTCCACCCTACGGGGAGCCAGTAGCCGACCAAGATCCGTGCAGCGGTAGCCTCCGTCCCGAACGCCCCGACCCAGCAAGCCCAGTAGAGGATCCCAACCGCAAAGCCCCAGGCCGGGTCGATGTAGCGGGCAGCGTAAGTCACGAAGGAACCGCTCGCTGGGTATATGGTCGTCATTTCGCAAAGACATTCTATCCTCCCGGTTAATACTACGCTCCAGAGAGAGAGAAATTGGGATTGAGGAGCGGGGACTCACGCATCATGGTGGTTAGAACGAGGCCCAACCAGGCGAAAGAAAAGACCACGGAGAATGGCCCACCAGTACTCAACACTTTCCCACTGCCAATGAACAAACCGGTCCCAACGCTCGAGGCAATCGCCAACATTTGCAAATGCCTCGCACCAAGGGCACGCTTGAGTTGTGGCCCCGCGCTTCGGGTTTGCCCTTTACAGAGCTCTTCGCTCGCTTTACTCTCCAGATCAGTCATTCTCGAGTTTCCCGGCTGTGAGAGAAAAGTAAAGGGAGGAAATAAAGGTAGTGTTGGAGGGGAGGGGGGGGGGGCAAGTGCCCTATATATCCAGTATCCCGAAAGGGACAGATATTACAGCCTCCCCCGCTGCTATCCCGGTCGGCCAAAGCCCAAGTGACCTGTCCGGTACAGCGGGCGGTCCGGGACGGCAGAGCGGGCTCTGGTGAAAAGAAATACAGAATCCGGAGATTCATACGGGACAACGAGGCATACGGTCTACCGAGACTGGGATAGCTGGGTGCTATTGTACAGAAATAGCAGTCGAGGCGGTTAGTGCGTCATGATGCGTGTACTGAGCCATTTCGTGCGCACTAACCTCGAAAAAAGGCCGAAGAGAATGTGCTCCTTACCGCAAACTCCCAGTGAAGGGGAGGCAGGATTTGCCGGTGAAGTGGCTCGCATTCCACAGATCGGAGTTCTCCCCAGCCAGCGAAATACCCATATCTACCCCGGTTCAAGCGTCACGCGAGAGATGAATTTGTGCGGTCACCGTTTATCACTCGGTTAAACTCGTGATCCCAATCGGGCAAGCTGGCTATCATAAATTGTTCAAGACCAGTTGTCCTCCCCAGGAATTCTATTAGGAAAGCTTGGACTACAAGAAGCAAAGCTTACCTATGAAAAAAAAGTAGAAAAAACCTGAACCATGTGCCAGGACGATCCATCTCAGAAGGACGGACACCCACCTCCCCATACCCTCTCCGCATACAGCATGGGGCCCTTGAGGGATGACCGGTCAAGATCTCAGAGGCTCTCGAGAGGGTACATACTGTAATTAGCACCGGACTCTTTCCGCAGAGAGATCCTCCCCTGTCGACCTTGACGGCCCAACCATCTAACGCGCCGTACCGTATCGAACCATTCAGGTATTTTGGCAACCCGCACAATGCAGACGTTCAGAAATATCCAGAAGCGGGTGGTGTTGCCGCACTATGCGACCCGAGGACTATCCCACGCTAAACGGAAAAAAAGAAGAAAAAAAAAACATCCCAAGACAGTCACAAATCTTCTGAACATCACGACGTTAATTTCCGTATGCGACTTACAGTGAAAGGGAGAACATGTATGGTGGTGACTTGGCGATGACGAACGATTGGTGGCTAAATTACTGTCCGGGATGTGCCCTAATCTCAAACAGAGCATATATACCCGCAATCCCCCCCCCCCCCGCTATAAAACTGGAAGCTAGGGGTATGGACGAAATTTGTGTCCAGGAATCCGTTCGGAAAATTTGAGGCGGTCGTTGGTCTAGTGATTTTCTAGGGGCGTGTCTGTATACTCCTTGGCGTCAGAGTCACTCGAGTACTTGCTTCATTCTAGTATACTTATTGTGCGAGAGCATCCAGCCTGAATTTAGTTTCCTTACATTAACAGGAGTATTCTATACTGGTAGTCAGCTTCATGCCTATGAGAGGTTACATATGCGGTAGTTGTATTCCCCTTCTTAGCACCATCTTGGATCCACTACCGTACTTCTGATTCGTTCACCCCCCGTCTGGATTCTATTATCCACTCCTTTTTTTTTTTGGCTCACTTAGGCACCTCAGCATTGGCAATTTGGAAAGCGTCTGTCCAGAAATCCCCAATGCGTATAATCACCTAACCGATAATCTCCCTATACACAGGTATCTCCCTCCCTCCTTTTCTCCCGTATCTGATACAGAGGCTCCTCATTCACGTCCTCTCACTCGTAATATGCATCTTAGGGCTAGGGCACCCTAACCCCTGTCGAAATAATCACGGGCAAAATGACGCTCAAAGCTCGGCGTCCGTGACTCCCCTGCTCTGGGCCATACAGAAAAACCGCAACAAATTCTATCAATTCACCCAATCCGGGCGGACCTCTCTATACGATACCCCAAAATGGGCTCCGAAGACTCCTTCACAGAATCAACATGGGACCTGGGAATCCACGATGCCCACTGCCACCCAACGGACGATATGTCCAAAGCCGGGACAATACCAACCATGAAAGCTAAATCCCTGACAATAATGGGAACCCGTCAGTCTGACCTCCCGCTTGTGACTTCGCTTGCGAAAGATTACCCGGAGAAGGTGGTCCCGAGCTTTGGTTACCACCCATGGTTTTCCTACCTTATCTACGACGATACTGGGCCCGGCGGGGAGAGGGAGGTGGATAAGAAAGAGCATTACACCACTGTTCTAACGGGGACCCCAACTGAAGACCTTATTTCCGCCCTGCCCTATCCCAGAAAACTGAGCTCCATCTTAACAGAGCTCCGCAGCCAGCTGGAAACCTTTCCGAAGGCACTAGTCGGAGAAATAGGCATGGACCGGGGCTTTCGGATACCATTCCCCGACAATACGGGTACGGAAGCGCACGCAGTGTATACCCCGGGAGATGCCGAGGACGGGAAGAGGTTAACGAATCACCGAGTATCAATGGACCATCAGAAGAAAATCTTTGTCGCGCAGTTGAAGCTAGCCGGGGAACTGAACCGCGCGGTCAGCGTGCATGGGGTCCAATGCCATGGCGCGCTCTTTGACGTTTTCCGCGAGTTGTGGCGCGGGCATGAGGTTGAGGTTGAGAGCCGGAAGGAGATGAAGAGGAGGAGGAGGAGGGCAAAGGGGGAAGTTGAAGGGCACGAGTATTTGCCCGACATTGAGGACTCGGGGGACAGTGGTGACGAATTCAGCGAGGAGGTGAGGAAACGGCAAGAGGAGAGGAAGCAGGAATACATGCCAAAGCCCTACCCTCCGAGGATATGCCTTCACTCGTTCTCAGCTCCTGCCCAGACACTCCAGCAATACCTCACCCCTCCATCGGCGAAAAAAAGGTACCCATCAAGGGTATTCTTCTCCTTCTCATCGACTATAAACGCCCGACCGGAAAAGGGGCATATGGAGAAGATTATGGAGACGGTGAAGGGAGTTCCCGAGGATAGGGTTCTCGTGGAGAGCGACTTACATACCGCCGGCGAGGAAATGGACGCTGCATTGGAAAGTGCTGTTAGGGTTATTGCAGGGATAAAGGAGATGGGAATAGACGAGTGCGTGAAGATGCTCAGGGAGAATTGGAGGGAGTTTGTTTTTGGCGACGCTTGACTGGTCAAGATGTTTGTCCACCGGCACCGCACAGTGCTATACTATGCAAGGAATGGTCACAGTAGGGTTGGAGTTCAAATGTCTGAGAATATGATAGCGTATTTACTGTACCGGTGCTCGCATAATCCGCTATCAGATCAGGAGTAGGGCGGAACTGCAGTGCTCGAGTAGACTTGGCTAAGCAAGTTGACGAGATTATCAACACTACTCGAGTACCGTACGGTAGTTACAGTGATAAGATCTAGCGAATCTAGCTCTCAAACCATACCGCCTCAAGAAAATTCACTACCGATATTCCCTCTCAAACTGGTGGCTCCGAATGCGGATATCAGATGTCAACCCTGTAATCTCCGGATTCCGAGACAAAAGCTCCTGAAGAGGGATTAGCCTGTTCCCAACACGGTATCATACTTGTACGAGTACTCGTACTGTAAGCTCAACCCACGGAATGTATGACATCGAACCTCTTTAACCCGTTACGGTATTCGCAGTTCTTTTAGCCTATCAAACTAAACCCATCGTAGCCTAAGGGATCTGACACCACCACCAATGTGGATTTGCGGCAACGTTTTTACCGTACTTTACCAATAGTAGCCAGGCACGAGTGCAGCACGAGTACGATATAACTATGCCGATTCCAATTAATTTTCTGTTCCTGCCTTTCCTTCCTTCTTTCTGTAATTTAGGCTCCAGACTTCCATGCTGATTCTATTGGAATACCGGAGCTGATGCCCAGGCTACTGTACGCTACGCCTTGCCCTAATACCGGTAATGCGGAAAGGGTCGAGTCGAGCCGACTTGTGCTTTGTGTGTTGTGCGCTCGCTGCGTGTTCCATTCCTCCATCGGACAGTCACCGGTGGTACCGTACTACACAAGTACCGCTGTCGCACCGGCAATCTTCGGATACCGGTTCGTTATTGGTGAGGGGCAAGGCAAAAAGGCGGAGGGATGCGGGATTATGCTACCTACAGGAGGTATGATACATGGTGAAAATGTTGCCAAGAAACAAACCTCGTAGAGTATCCGATACCGGAATTATGGAGTGTTGGGCTGGATAAGGGGAATTCGCCTTAGGATGTGGAAACGTCCCCTGCTCCCCCCCTCGAGTACCAATAAGGCGTTGTTTTGCTTTTTGCTGCTATTTTCTCTACCGGTTGTCCCCGTCGAAATTGGAAAGCTGGACGTTCTTGGACGAATTTCCCCATCCAAGTTGATATAGTACGGTAATTAGGAGAGCCGACAGCAGCAAGCAAGAGGAAACCCAGAAGGGTAGGGGGGACATTCCCGATAGCGCAGTATGATATGTTGGATATCCTCTCTTCCGTGCCGAGTTCGGGGTTTCGAGTTTGGGGAGAATTCTGCCCGTGAGGGTCTGAGCAAAGCTGATTGTCACGCATGATGCAAAATGGTTCACTTTTGCGTCTGATACCCCTCCCCCTCCAATACCGGTACCAGTACTCGAGTACAGTACCGGTACGTTAGATGATCTAATCGGATCAGTTAGACTACACTCCTTTCCTCCTTCTGCCCTGCCGGATACCCCTTGCTTGGCAACAACAAAAGCGCAACCTATTATTGCACATCGAGAGGAGCAAAAAAACGGTCAACAAAAAGTGTCCCTAAATTCAAAAAAAGCCCCCCCGCGAAATCTCCACATCGCCCGGGGATAAGTGTTATTGGGCTACGGTCGTGATCACACCTGCAGATGTGGTGAATTTTTTTTTTCCGACTCCATTGAGATCTCGAGAAGCCCGGGCTGGGTACTGTGGATTCAACTTCGGGCTGTGAGCTTGCGTTACCGTGTGCTATCCTCGCCCCGGCCCCGAGTTCCAGACTCATTGTCTGATCGGATGAACGATAGCTCTCGCTGTTCCAGGGGGCTCCCCACGCCATCTTACTCCCGGCGTATCCTTCCTTGTGGGTGTGTTTTGCTATGTACGAGTACGTGGGCTATGACTCACAGCAGGGGCAGCTCGCCATGGAATCGAAGGAGAAGGTGGTGACTATCGCTCCATATTGGTTGGGTCAAGTCAAGAGCTCATGATAGGGGGCAAGGTCGCATGGCATACCGGTGATCTCGGCGGATGGTGAGTTTCTGTGCAGCGCCTTAACAGCCTCAGCCACCACCACTAATACCGGTATCGGCGTACCGGTACGGTAGCCTGCCCGCTATCAATAATTAAAAAAGCTTAAACGACACACCCAATCAGCCGGAAGGAGAAAAGGAGGGCAGTGTTGGTGCCGGTATGGTATTAAAAGGAATCGGAAAAAAAAAAGAGCCTACATCCATTGGAGAGAAAAGTAGAAAAAAAAAAAGAAAGCACCATGAAATACTCCAAAAAAAATCTTCCGACGACGCCCAATTCCGTTTAAAACAATAATATCATAATAATAATAATAAAAATACAAACTCCTAACCCCACAGACGCTATAACCACCACCACCACGCTTCGCCCCGAAAACGTGCAAAAGTGGCTTTTCTTTTCTTTTTTCTGCTTGGATTTCGGGCTCCTGCTTCCCTTATTCACACGGCTTCACAATAGCCGATGGTATCGCCCAAGAGTCTGTCCAACGCCACGCCTGCTGCGCATTCTCGTGCTTCATTCGCGCTCTCGAATTCTACGCCTGATATGGAGACATATTCCCGACCGTTTATTCGGACCCGACAGGAGTACATCCTGGGCGAAGGATGGTAGATTATGTAGACTGGAGGGGATATGTCCGATTGTTTGCAATAGTCTTTTGTCGAGGAGGAGGAGGGTTAGCCTTTCGAGGAGTGTGGTAGAGGTTTTAGAGGGACAAACCCGAGAGCTTTTGCTGACTTTCCGTCTCAATGAAGAGCTTCTCGAATACTCGACAACTCATGATGTGGCTGGCCAGTCGCATTGATGTCATTATCATTTTGACCGAGGTTTGCGTTCGGAATTGGAACTCTTCGGGGGGGTAGGCTTTGGCCGTGGTCCACGAGGATTGATGACCGTGGTTGCGGTGAATTGGGTGAGGAGGAGAGTGGTAGATGGATAGCACAGGGCAGGGAGCGAGAAAAAAGGAAAAGAAAAAAGAAAGTAGAACACGGTAAAAGCTGGAGAAAGGCTGTGTTAGGGCGGTTTATGCGAGTATATATATAAAATCAGAGTGTCTTTCTGACGATCAGGGTCGGAATATGTTCCGGGACAGGATTTACTCGGGCCTGCAGGGTTAAGGTGTGAAGGATGAATATTCGGTAAATGTCTATTTTTTTTTCAGCTTCCCGACATCGCCAGCGTGGCACGGTAGTTTATTTCGTTCTTTTAAGGCTGTTGGAGGAAGGAGTTGGGGAAGCTTCTTTCTTTATCGCGCACGGCTCCCGGCTGGGGACGTCCTGACATTAAAGGGTACTTGTAATGGAAAGCGCTCAGTGGGCTCGTCGGACCCGGAAGAGGTGGTGCGGTTGCTTTTTTCTTTGGTCCTGCAATGCCAGTACCGTAGATATACTGTATCCGTCCCTTGCGTCAATCTCCCTTTCTCCTCCTCCCTCCGTTCCCCACTACCGGTATCGTAATGCGACGTCTCGGGGCCACTGAATCAGCGCAAGTGCGGTTGGTGCACCGACCATATAAAGCCGTTTTCCCCTGCCCGCCTTAAACCGAATCATGATGGGCATGGGAACCACTTTTACTGTGTAGCGCAGCTTACAGCTCATTTATGCTCTTGCCGTATTCCTTTAGAGGGGCTAGCGGGTTCCTGCGCATTCGGGATACCTCTATCCCCACCCCTCCTCCGTCTCTTATGTTCGGAGACCAGTCAGTTCGTGAGAGTTGCGGCGAAGAACTGCCCTCATTGCGGTTATCGGCCGCGCTGCACCTTGATCCTTTTGCTTTCTTTCCTTAGGGCTGGCCGGGCGTAGCACCTTAATCCTCTGGCATCCTCCGATCTCCTTTCTATTATCGTACACCACATTTCCAATCGTTTATCCCCCCATCGAGATTCCGTAACCGGATCCCTGAGTTTGGACCCCCTGTCCCTATCTGATGACCTATTTCTCTGCTGGTCTTTCCCATCCGTTTGTTGGGTTTGGGGTTCCACCACTCTTACGAGACGAGAATCCGGTTTTGTCTATGATTTCTCGATTGGAGATACTGTGTACATAGTACCGTGCTCTGCTCTGATTTATCGGCGGGCCCCCGTTTGGTCACCTGCTGCCTGGTTCGTCTGCGTGCCTTAGGGGCGAAGCCCGGGCGGGCACAATTGTGACGACAATCATGTACGAACACTTGAGTTTTATCAATATATATAACCCTGAAACAACCGCTTCTTGCATGATGCCTAACATGCTGCGTCCCCCGAGAGCCCTCAAGGCCCTTCCCATCGAGTCCTTTTTTTTCCTCAAAAAAAAACAAAAAAACATAAGGTATGAAAAACTGCACAACGTACATGCTCCGGAATTTCTCCTGCCTGCTTTTGTCTCCTCTTATCATGTACAGTAGTAATTGGATCTTATTTTCTTGCTATATTAACTCATAGATGGAGAGCATCCGCAATACCGGCAGTTGTGCACCAGTAAGTTAACCGACAGGCTCAGTATGAGAAGTATTCCCCGGTTGTTTAGCGGAATTGGGATCTTTGGTCCGGTGCTGCGCCGCTATCTTGTGTTAAGATCAGCGTTATCGACATCGGAGCAGATGGAGCTGGAATGGACACGATTGCCAATTTCGGCCCTTCTGGCACAACGATCTGGAAAGACTGGTTTGGTGCGGTCTTAAATCCTGACGAATATGGGGCCTCTGCGTGGAGCAAAACTCGGAAGGCACGGATGCTGTTACTCCGTGGGGACCGGGAGATTTTCTGGAAGTCTTTGGGTACAGAATTTTTATTTTTTTGACCTCCGCGAGTCGGAGGTCGAATTGGGTTTGTCGGTGGTAGGCTCTTGGGATGGTGGGTGCCTGTGCTCTCCCTTCTCATATGATAGATGGGGCTCGCGTTACCCGTCCTTTGCCCCCATGGGTCACCATCCAATCTGTGAGGGAGTTAGCGCAATGGCCAAGATAACCATGAAGTGCGACGGTGCAAGTTGCCGATCCAAAGAAGACACCTACCATCTCGCCTCCTAGATCTCCATACCAGAGAAATTGATGCGTATGATTCGCCCGCGGCGCAGGATAGGGTGCCTGTCTGGCAACCTTCATCAATACCGGTATTTCATATGGTCTCAGTGGTAGGGATGTTGGTGGACAGGTGTGGGATTGTGAAGTTGTCTCGGATGACAAAATACGGTGCTGTCTTTGTTTAATAGGATAGCCGGCCGGTGCATCATACCTGTAGTAGATATACCCGTACGGGCGCTATTCCCCCGGCAGACATCCGACTTTCGACTTACCCGGGCGATATTGCCACACTCGCGCAAGTGATATTGAGGGCTGGAATTGGTGACTGATTGTGTCGGGGGTGGTGCGATTCATTATGTGGCAGAAGGGCCTGGGCAATCCCGGGAGCCAGATATCGCGTATCTAAAGGGAGTTGACCACGGTGGCGTACCATATGGGGCCATTGACTGCCTCACCGTATATTGCTCGAGTCTTCTTCCCCAGAGGCAGTGGTTTGATGTGCTCAATGTTGCGGTTTGTACCGTATGTTACAGCACAACCCGCATCTCACACTGCCTCCTAATCTAATACTGCTAATTTGCGACAATGCTGATGCGGCTCTTCGGTGCGATAAGTTAAGCTTTTTCCCAATTCGTCGGGGGGCGACGTTTCCACACCTCTTCAACGAACCAACCGGGTATATAGAGAGCAATTATCCCATCTGTCCGCCACCCCTATCGCCACCAAAATAGCCAGGATGGCCCCACTCGTTCTGGAAATCTCCCTCTCAATCATCTACCCAACCACGACGGCCCCATTCTCTGATGGATCCGTGAGGATCGACATCGCCGCTCCCGATCAAGCACACAAAGGAAATGTCGTTCCTCACCATCAGCCCCCGCCGGCAATTTTGCAAACCGGCCCATCACATCCGTTATACCGCCTTCCTCAATCCATCTCCTCTGGGGGCATGAAGATTCACTTGAATGCTTACGCCGCATCCGAGGGAACCCCCGAGGCCATATCCCACCGCGAATTAGCTCGTTCTTCCCGCACAAGCATGATTGACAAAGACCATATTCTGTACGAGATCGCGAAGGTGCCGGTTGGTTCTGATTACCATCTTGAGTGCTTTCGCTACGGCAAAGACACTGGAGCGTACGGGTTCGGTCTGATGTCCTTCGTCAGCGGGTGGATATCTGGCGGCGTTTGGAATGTTGAATATAAGACTCAAGCCTCTGGAGCCAAGGTCGAAATTTTTGTCAGGATGCGGATTGATGACGGTGGCTCGGAGCATGGCGTTTGGAAGTTGATTGAACCGGTACAGAAGGTGGTTGCCAAAGAGAGGCCTCCGAGGGAAGGGGAGTACGGTGAGAATGGGCGCTGTATCGAGATTTTTGAGGATGATTTCCACGGGCAGGGGATCATGCCCGGGGAGGAGTGGAGGGACTTCATCACTGCTTGCTGGATTACGAAGGTTTGGAGAGAGGCTACAAAAAAGCCACTTTTCGGAACATCAGTGAGAAGCAGCACTGAAGCTGGTACCCTGCCAACTTGGTAAGGTGGAAATGGCCATTTGTACTGTTCCTCGACTTTTCAAGGGGAAGGAAAGATTAGGTGTTTTTGCTCTTTGACAGCTTCCGTGCTTTCCAGACATTACTAGATCAGGGGGAGAAACGTTTGGTTGAAATTTTGAGAGATATGAGACGGTGGGATCCCCGTTATGATCTGTACATTTAGCATCCACTTGAATGTTCTGTAAAATTCTTTCCGTTATTGTCTATTCTATGCTATCGTCCGTCAACTGATAATGCTTTATTCTTGTTGCAGCAAATTATTTTTGCGGAGAATTCTTGTTAGTATGATTGTTACCGCAGCCATCATTTCAGCGGAATATGGCCTATGAAAGATACGGAGAACAACGATTGCGTACCCGTATCATTTGTGGTTTTTGATCCAGGGCCTTGTATACCGTATCGTGTGGACGGCTTGCGAATCTCTCATCATTAGTTTACGTGAACCTCACACTCACACTCCCCACAATCTCCCATACCCTCACCCTAACCCCCCCGACCCCTTTGCTCTCTGCGATTTTACCTTTTCTACCTCCCCCCCTCCCTCAATTCGTGATCATTTGCTTTCCCTCCATACCTACCACATCCTCCCCTTCTCTCGCGTACTTTTTCTTCTCACTATATCCCTTATCTATACCTCCGGTCAAAGAGCCCCTCTTCCGGATATGAGGTCCTCATCTGGAGAGACCATAGGCTCAAGCTTCGACATTCTTCGGGAAGCTGCAAACGGTGACACTTCTTGGCACTCGGGTGAATCCATTAGCACTACCCCGGTAGAGAAATATAGGGGCAATGGCTACCAAGCTCAGGATGAAAATACTTTGCCTATTTCAGGAGCTAGTGGGGCTAGGAGAGACCAAGAACTATCTTCCAAAAATACATCTCCGGGATCCTGGGAACTCTCAGGTACGCTATTCCTAGTTTTTAATGACTATAGCTAAAATCTTCTCTATTTCCCTTTGCCCAAGACGGCTGGAAAGACGGCAGTCCATTTGGGCCTGGAGGTACGACACGCTCCCTGGGATCCAAATCTCTGCTTGAGAATTGAGTTAACTTCTTGCAGTCAGCAAGAACAGCCTGGATTTTTCCTTGAATCCGTTTGAAACACTTCCTAATTCACCTACACCCAGTAGGCAGAGAAGCAGTTCCTATAGAAGCTTTGGATCTCCCAGTTCAGGTGATCTTTCACCTATCTATGAGGGCAGGAAGAAGAATCTGTTCATCAGCGCCCCCAAGCAAACACCCGAACGTGTAATTGCCCGTTCTACATCGCATCCCGATGAACTCCACCAGGTTCCGAGAGATATCCCTAAAAGAAAATCCATTTCAGACAGCCCAGAGAGTCCTGGCGGCGATGTCTTTCACTTTTCGCCGCAAGGGGACTCGTATAACCCCCTGATTACATGTAAGACACACATGTGAACCGTTTTCTATCACTCGTTGCTTTCGCCTTATGTCTCTGACTTGCCTACCCCATAGGCAACCTCATCCATATCAAGGGCTCACCTCTCAATGAGTCGGCCTCAATGCAACAGAAAAAACAGCCCGATACCATACTTTATAAGGATTCCGAGATACCCGCAAGTGCTAGGGATGGATTTGAAGGTTAGCAGTCTATTCCCAACCTCTTCAAGTTTTTTTTGTACTATTTGGGGACTAACATATGACTTCTTAAAGGTTATGGATCCCCTAACTTCAGCGCCCTTGAGGTTCCCCCCTTTTCGCCCCCCACACCGCTAACCGGCTTGAGAGGATTCGTGACTAATAACCATCGGCAGGGTTGGAAGCCGAGATATAGTCAAGACTACTCGGCCCCGGAATCTGACAGCGGCTGTGGACAAGATCTCGTTTGGGGCGCTGTCCCGGGCGGACGTCGTTCAATTTTTGGACCAGGTCCTAGGCTTCCTGATTCTTCAACACTGCCAGAGAGATATTATGGGGAGACCGTGAAAGATCCGAACACTTCGACGGGAAACGCGCTAGCTAAACTATATGCATCTATGGAACTTCCTAATTAGTATGGCTAATAACTCGTCTCCTAAATTCGACAGCTGGACTAATATCCTCACAGTTCCTCTCAAGAGCAAGGGAAATCTGCAGTTTATCCAACCTCCAAGCAGGATTTGGGTCTACGTCCCTCCCTGAGTGGGGGGAACACTGCTGTATCGAATGGGATTTCTCTCAAAGCCTCTCATCACCTCCAACTCAAAGAACCGGATCATCCCGGGCCTCAAGCCTCGCCACATGCCCTCTCGCTGGGGAAAGGCAAATATTGTCCCTCGCCTGATGCTAATAGATTCAATAGTTTGAGCAATAATAAAATCGTCGTTGGGGAGTTCGTGCCGAATTTCGTTGACAAAACCGAGAAGCATGCGAAACTGAGAAGGGAGACAGAGAGGATGGTAAACGAACCGGACAATCCGAGAATCAGGGGGAGTCCGTTCGTTGCAGGCCCCAGCATGGGAGCGAAAAATCCAACTCTAGTTGCCTCATTGTCTTCAGCTCCCTCTGATGCCTTGCAGGAGGCGTTTGATTTTTTGTCTACTCAGGTTAAACCCCTTCTTCAGGAGAAATCAGGCGGAAGGAATATATGGAGCAAGCATTTTCCTATCACCAATGACGGGTCTATCCAATACATGCCTAAGGATACTAAGACTTATGCATTCGAAGATTGCTCCAATCTCCAGAAGTTGACTAGGTGCACCGCTGTTTTCCTTGATACCCTCACGGGCACTTCTCAAAGTGGATTTTGGGCAGATCCAGGCCTTTTCATAACTTCACTCCGTTTCCGTGAGGGATCAGCCAATGGTCACGTGATGGATTACAACCCTAATTTGGCTTTTGAAAATCCGAGATACTTCGTTTCTCCCAGCAACACTGGAATGCTGGAAGACCGTGTGCCTGTCATTTTGAAAGCATGGGATACTCCATCCAACCTCGCAATCTTCCGGCCCATCCGTGTTGGCAGTTATGAACACATCGGGATAGAGAACCTTGTTGAAGATCATGAGTTCTTGCATGCCCATAGCAATCAAATACACTTGAATCATAACATAGCCGCAGTTGGCTATATACGTGCACGCCCCAAGCCACAAGAGGGGACAGAGTCTGATGGTCTGAGATGTAGGACTAGCTACCCGGTATTTAATGTATGAATACAACTCTTTTTAGGACCCTTTCATATGCTAATACTGGAGTAGAGCGATAAGGACACACGTATTCGAACGGTGTGCTCTATCAATCAGGTCCGTAGATTCATCGAGGGAAGTGAGAACACGGAGGGCGTTCTCAAGGCGGACTGCCTCTTTCCGCTGAATTTTTATGGTAGCCCTTGTGTCATCAAGCAATCCGGTTCTGTGATTGGAGTGGGTAGGGACACACAATCTCTATTGTCTATTTATAGAAAGGCTAACATAGAACAGTTAATGGGCCGCACAGTGTCAGTAACACTAGAGACATTGGACTTTTTCCTCAAGGGTTCAGGAAATGGTTGAGATGGTTTGCTTTGTAGAGCAGGCTTTGTTCCTGTGGAATTATCGTGAATCGTTTGGTCTTTTGTCTCTCCCCTTTCTGTTTGCACGTGATAGGTAGCTTGGATTGTGACGATTGCAAGACCTTTTACAAAATCCCTTGCCCTTTTTTTTGTCTTTGAATGGCGTATCACTGCTTGGGTAGTCGTTCTCCCTCTTTTGCTGTCGGTATAAGCTGTGGTTGGGGATGTTCTTTTATGATTGACCCTAGATTATAAATTTCGGGGAGCATTTTTACAAAGCTCTGGGAATGAATCGATTTGGGGACATGAACCATCACTCGAGCAGAAAATTTGCACCTTAGAAGGTTGCCACCCACTCGAGAGTAAATCTACACGGGGCTACCATAAGTCGGAAATACTGCAGCACTTCTATGTGATAGACTTATCAATATATTGTGCATTCCGTCGACAGGGTGTATAGTATCGCGAGCCTTTCGAAACCGAATACCTTGTGTAACCAGGGTAAAGGGCCTTTTGTAACAAGTATTTGTTTTTGGAGGTCAAAAGTTCGGATCTCATGGTGAGCTGGATGCTAATCAACAATTTTCTACAGATCGTGCCCCTGGTTTCACTTTATGATAGTTGTCTGGATATAAATGTTGGTCACGGGAGTCTAATGATCCTATCTGTACCCGGGGTTGCCTAATCCCTTCCCATCTGACTCTGGTTCTTGGTATATTTGGATTATCATGAATTGGCAATACCGGGGGGTTGTAATTAGTTTACTGGTCTGCTCACAAGGCAGGCATTTCGTGCGGGTTGTCACGGATCTACAGTGTGCATCCATCTGGTTGAAAATAAGTAAGGAAAAGTATCGTACGTAAATAACCGGGGATGAGTAAGAGATATTGTGGTTGTTGCAGTACTGTACTGTGCTTGTACAAGTACTGTGAAACTTGTTGCTTCTTTCAGAGCTATAATCGGGCAATTGGGGAGGGGCAGGAGAGTCAGGAAGGAAGTTGGGAAGAAACAAAAACAAAAAGCTTATACAACGTGGAGACCTGAATAGACCTTCGGAAATCAATATCCGTTGTCACAACTTATTAAATTACCCTCTACCGTACCCGGATCACATAAGACATTAAATTTTGAAACGGCAGTGGTACTCCTTGTATATTACACGCTAGAGACGGAACGCACCACAGGTATGATTGTCCAAATCCTCGCCTTCCTTCCTCACAACCAACCAATTCCACCCTTTCCTCATCACTGACACCCCCGCCATGACTACCGTATTCCTCCAGCGGCAGAGGACGTCTCGCCGTTACCCATCAGCTATACGTATATATTAAAGGCCTCTCTCTTGATATAAATTGTGATACTCGCGAGGGTAACTTAGGGCCATATCCACTAATTATCGCTTTGATTTATCCGCGAGATTCTCTCACGGTATGATTTTTTTTTTCTCAATCCTTTGATCTTATTTATTATTTATTCTTTGCAGTATGGTCAATGAATATGATACTGTACTAGTACATGTCTTTCCTTCCTCCTTTTATCGAATGGTTAAGTATGATACTAGCATAGTACCGTAATTTAAGTGAACATTACCGCGCCAACGCTGCCATTCGGTAACCATCTACAGTACATAAAATCCATATTTTCTTTTCCTGCTTCAGCGTCGGTCTCGGCGCTCTGGGGCTTTTCTGTCCCCCCCCTCTACAGGCAGTTACAGTACAGTACGATACGATATGACATTCCCCCCGGGAAAATGGATAACCGTTAATGTCGTGTTGGAAGTACCTGCAGTAGCGCTATACCGCGTACAGTACTGTACCCTAACAGAAAAAAGGTATGATATATAAGGTTTCCCTTATTAGTTCTCACATAATCAGTCCTTCCCTTCCCTTCCCTCACTATCATACCCCCATTCGGGAAAAGAAGAGAACAACCCGAGTTAGAAAATGAAAGAAAAACAAGGAGGAAAGAATAACGTACAAGCTCGTCACACTAGGCAAAAAAAAAAAAACCTTCGGCGGCGGCGGCGGGGGACGTCCGACCACAAACTCCCCCTCCCCAACTCACTCACTCTGCAATATCATACGATCCACGCAACCAGGACGCCCTGATGTCGGACGGGATCGGAGCGGAAGGTGCCATCATATCATATCATATCATATCAGATATCATAACAAAAAACGGTAGGGAAGACTACGAGTAGAGTTAGAGTTCAGTATGATACATCTCCAAAATGACCGTAAGTGCACAGCCCCCCGTACCCTGTCCCACTCACTCTCCGAGAGATAGATAATGCCATGTGCAACAAACAATCATCGTAATCCAGAGAAAAAAACGATCGATCACTGGCTGGCTGGCTGGCTGGCTGGCTGGCTGGCAGCCTTAAGCTAAGCGCCCACCATTTTCCAGACAAAGGGAAGTGAAAAAACAAAACCAAAAAAAAGAAAGGAAAGGAAAGGAAAGGCACAATCATTTCTAGCAGTGAGTGTATGGAAGGGAAGGGAAGGGAAGGAAGGAAGGAAAGAAAAGAAAAAAACACGAGCTCGGCCATAATAGATGAGTTCTATTCAGTACCGTAGAGGATCACTCACTCCGCATGGAACACTCTCGATGGAAAAACTGAATAAATCCGTGAGTGCACCCTCCCATAATACTGTAATAATTATTATAAAGCCAGACTATCGTTTCGTGCAACTCCTCCTTCCGTCCCTTCGTCTGTATTCAGGACCCCATGCCCAAGACGAATGGGGAGATAGTCTCGCTACTTGAGGGAAAGACTAATTGACTCCTTGGGAGCCACAAATTCTATTGGCCAGGTCACCATTGAGCGACCGCAGCCATCCTTTCATGAGCCTAGTTTTTGAAGACCGGAGGACAAGTTACGCGCTAAAAGGTCGTGAAACTCGGGAACGAACGAAGGGATGGCACAGCACTGTACTAGCACAAGTACCGGTACCGGTACTTGATGTTGGCGGTGAAACGCCGTGTTCTGCGCTGGTGTGTGCGGTTTTTTTTTTCTGCAGGGTTTTCTGCGGGTGCGGTGGGACACAGTGGGCTGAGCGGATAGCGTCAAGGGCATCGCTGAGTTTAGCGGAAATTTCTGTTTTTACCGGAATACTGGTAGCTAGTCACTTTGTACAGTACTGCAGTCCCTGGGGTGAGGTTTCCATTGGTCCTTGGCTTTTAGTATTATCCCTTCTCGAACACTCCATTTCACTCTTGGCACTCACAAAGCTATCCAACGCAACCTAATCACAACCCCGCGCTCTGGTGGCCAAGTTGGTAAGGCGCCACACTAGTAATGTGGAGATCCTCGGTTCAAATCCGAGTCAGAGCACTACTTTTTTTTTTTTCCCCACTCCGTGAGTGACTGACTCCTCAAGGCAACCGCAACCCCCCACTCCCTCCCCTAACCCCTCTTCTTAAAAATCACTCGGAGCACTCGATTCGACACAAAAGCTTTTTATTTCAGAACCCAGAAGAAGAGAAGATTAATCATCTACCCACTGTCCCGTTCGTTCCCCCCCAGCACTCACCCAAAGCCCCCTCCTACCCTGCCCACTACGGCGCAGCACAAGAAAAATCCAAACCGAACAGAACATAAAATAGAGATGAAACAATCAACCCCTACCAAGCGGTAAAAGCAACCACCCCATATCAACTATCACCCGCACATAATCGCGCGCACACGAACGACTAGCTGGAACAGAAAATGTCTTTTATTCGTTGTCTGGACCTACCCCATCCTCGCGGAGCCCACATCAGCCCAACAGATCGACACACTCCCAGAGCGAGACGACCGCCTCAATAATGAAACGCTACCTACAACTTGCTAGTCCTGAGTAGTAACCGTGGTATCACGTTCAATTGTCCCCACAATATCACCCCTTATATATGCGATGTAGACATCTTCCGATAGTTCGCACCTATAAAATATCATTGATTACTTAATCGGTTGGCTCTAATGATGAGGGGGGGGGGCACGCACGAGAAGCCTTTGATCAGTGTATACTCTTGCGTGATTTTCCCGCCCTTAGAGATGACGTCCTCCTTGAGCTTCCTCAGATCTGAGTCGGTAGCGTCGGGCTTCGCGGTGATCTGTTGGTAGTGGTATCATAGTCAAGTTAACACGATGCGGATGGAGTGGGGGGGAGGGGAGGGGATGGGAGGGTGGGAGGGTACGAGGAAAGTATTAGAAAGCTTTTTGGCGGAAGGCATGTTGAATATTGTCCTTGGGAGATGTTTTTGTAGTGCTTTCGTTTTTGCGCTGGTGGATCGTAGCTTGTGCGGTTGTAGTTGATGATGCTGTTGTCGCTATATGTTGTTGTGGAAGAAACGGGGAGGAGGATGAAGGGAGGGAGGGATGGGCTTTTTATCCACGGTTCGGCCCACCATTCGCGGGGTAACCCTCAGACGAGGAATGGGAATGGGTGTGGATGGTGACGTACGGCCTTTGCCTTGCCCCATCCTGACCGGTGGTTGGCTGGCTTAGTAATGCTGATACAGCACGTCTTCAGATAATTAATGGAGGAAATGTTTCTGATTTCCTTGGAAGGGGTGAGTTGGGTGGGTGGTGGTCTGAGTTGGCCGCAGGTAACCTTGGTGGCCATACCGGTACTCGTAGCACAAGTATTATACTTGCCTAACAGTCTATCACTTGTACCCCAAAAGCAAGTAGAATGAAGGAAGGAAGGGAACGAACAATAAATACGGTTCAGGGAACGAGACGGATTAGACGACAACACGGCAGTGACGCTGCCCGTACAATGCGGACTCTCACAACGAGAAACAGTACTGTAGCCCTGCTTACACATTCAAACACGCCGCCTTGGCACACAAAGTCTCACTCGCTTCCTCATGTCCCATCCCTCATCACACATACACATACACATACACATACACCCTCTCTCTCTCTCTCTCAAACATCAACCATCCACCCCACCACTGCCCTCCCCCTCCTCAACGACGTGATGTTAAAAGTTAAAGCCCATCAAGCCCCACTCCCTTCAGTCTCAGATACACGTCGGTACCCCACTCATATGCACTCTGCACCTTCAGGCTGCCGCCAAAGTACTGCGCGTAAGCCCTGCTCATCGGCAATCCGTAACCCAACCCGGCTATGGAGCTTGGTTCCAGCGCACCTGCGCTCTCGGTGAACCTGCCCATGGCATCCATCCCCCCATCGGGGGCACCGTCATCAACGCCCTCCAGATGTCCCGAGTTTCCCGACCCGATGGACGAGCGGGAGCCGTTGAAGGTGCTGAAGGAGTACGACCATATGTGGCCCAGGTCATCGGGCGCTATCCCGCCACCCTGGTCGCGGATCCGGATCGTGATGCCGCCAGCGTCCGGTGGGCCGGGTGCTGCTGCGATGGTCACGATTATGGGAACCGGAGAATTGGCCTCGATGGTCGCGCGAAAGGCGTTCTTCAGGAGCTCCGTGATTATGTACTCCAGGTGAACGGGTATGTAAGGAAACGTGATGTCGGGGTTTCCGTCGATGGTGAGTTTGGGCCTGGCACCGTACCGCAGCTCACAGATATCCCCGACGAAGGAAGCGCACGACTCGATGATCTCGGCGGGGCGGAGTTCAGTGTCTACGGTTCCTATGTAAGACTTTCCGGGGACGCTTACGGTCGGCGGCTGCGGGACCGAGGCAAGGTGTAGGCCGATGTGCTGCTCCGCCATCAGCCGGGTACCAATGCGAGCTCTCAAGTGGTGGTCGAGAAATTTTGTGGCCTCTCCCGGAGTGGTGTACCCGCGACACTCTAAGAAACCCTTGGCGAGGGTGGGGATGGTGTTGCTGTGCGTGTTGACGATCTCTGTTAGGAGCTCGGTGAACTTGCTCTCCTCGGTTAGGCTGGTTAAGCTCCCCGCGGGAAAGGCGAGGATGGCGGAGAGCGAGTCAATGTAGTTATTGTAGATTGTTGAAATGTTCGGGTTCGAAACGATGATGTAGGGGAGATTGCGCAGCGCTCGGATCCGTCTCGAGAGGCGGACGGGCAGGTATTCTCTTGTGAAGCGCGCAGAGGTAAGGAGGGATTGGGTGGATAGTGGCGGACGGCCGAAGCTGGACAGACAAATAAGCCATTACTTTAGGCCGGGGTAGCGGCTAGGGTGAACCCACCGAATCAAGTCCTTTAAGCTCAACCTGTCAAGATGCTTTGCAGCCAATTGCGCGATCATATCGTTTGCCGGGCTGGTTGTGGGTGGAGTGTACCCCTCCAAGGAACTCGCGCTACCGGTACCGCCATGTGAGTTAAAGGTGGTCGAGACACAGCGCACCAGCGGGCGCTGCGAAGGTTTCGCAGCAGCGGCGATACGGTACATCGCAGCGGCTAACCAATTGATGTCCCTGGCTGTGCGGTGTGCGGAGAGGAGGAAAGGGGGAGGAGGGGGAGGAGGGGGAGGAGGGGGAGGAGTAGAGAGACAATGAGGGAGTGGAAAGTGGATTGGCGAGAAGCCGGGAAACCCGAGCTCCAGAGTTCGGGTGCCTTATCACCAACGATAAGCCTTTGCGGTATGACAGCAACAGACAGCCACATACTGCACAGTATGTACTGTACGAGTACGGTATAGCACAGAACACCCCGGATCCAATGAATGAGCCCCCCAACAATCACAATCCCGCACTCGCCTAACAGGCCAACCCCCGACCCACCACTCAACAATAGTCTACCCAGAGCTCCAAACTTCAAACTATCATAGACAACCGCACGTTCTATCGACTAGAAAACCGTGCCCAAAACCCCTCTCAGATACATGCAATAGCCGCACATCATGAAACGAAAACCAGGTTATAAATAGCCTAGCGCTTCCAGCAGACCAGAACCAAACCAAACCCACCACACAGATACGGCATCCCAATCAAGGTCCGTGAGGGATTCCACAACACAGGTACTGCACTGTACCCTTCTGCACAAGCAGTATACGAGTACCAGCGCAACGCAAAAATAGATACCGGTATGCTACCAAATCGCCAGTAACGGTCCACAGGTTCGATCCGTTCAATCCGTCTGTCTACTCCATTAACTACAGTATAACTATATAGAGCAAGGCAAAGTAAACTAAGCTAAAATACTCCACTCCCTTGTTTCATCTGCGTTATAGGATAGGGCAGAAGAATAGGAAGAAAAGACTAGGGATAATAGATAGGGAGATGAAATAAATAGAGTACAATACAAGTTTTACAAATTGAAAAGCCCCCCTCCCCCCCCCCGTGTAGTATGAAGGTCCAGACAAAATGGTAGGCAGAACTATATAGCGAATGGGTTCACTCTCGGGAGCTAACAGTTTTCTTTCTTTTTTTCCTTTTTTTCCTGTTTTTTTCGCACACAAAACCCCCTTCTCCCCTCCTCCTCTCTATTGCTTCTCTCCTCCCGTCCTTTGCTTTTCCCATTTTTCGCTTTTTTTTTTTTACCTTTAAAAACACTCCACATCCCAGTATCACACTTTTTTCTTTTTCTCTTCCGTTCGCCTCATTTATTCCGGAAGCCAGCGACCCTCATCGTCCTCATAGACGTCGTCGTCTCCATGGTCGTTAGAATTGATATGGTGATGGTGGAGAGCACTTGAACTTGCTGCTGCTACTGCTGTCGACGAGGTGCCATTCTCCTCCGTGTCCATTCGGCTCGGATCCTCAGATTTGTTAGGGGGTGGGTTGGATGATGGCCCATTGAACCAGGCCAGGACTACTTCACCGACGTTTGGGATGTCGTTCCCGGTATAGATGAACTACTTCCATGTTAGCTCGAGGTCTAAGGAAGGAGAGAGAAGAAAGTAAGTAGCAGAGGGGAGGGGAATTAACCTTTTCGGCAGTCCTTCTATCCTTGAATGTGACGATTTGCGTGTCATCTTTGTCGGGATGCGGTTCAATGCCTTCAACCTCTAGGCCGGTGTTCTGTAGGGGTTAGCATAGTCTTCTACAAGGTCACTTGGACAATATGTGATTCTCACCATAAGGTAGTGCCTGAATTCCTCATCCTTACCACCCCTAAGATCAGCAGCACTGACAGTAACTTTTCGAGTACGATTGTCCAATTTCAAGGTACCACCTCTAGCAGTTGGGAATGCTCCACGACCCCTATAGGATCCATAAGTAGGAGCATAAACCCCCCTTCCCCTGGGGACATACCCGCCTCTGCCCCTGAAAGGAAACCTGCCGCGACCTCTCCCTCGGTAAGAGCCAGACTCGGGAACAGTATCACTACCTTCAATCCCCAAGGATTCTGCTTCTGCTTGGAGAGCTCGCAATTGCGCCTCGAGGGCAGCAGTAGTAGCCGCCTGAGCATCAGACTTAGAAATGCCCCCAGCGGCCGGGGACGTCCCAGATGCCGGGGGCGAAGCCGAAGCGGCGGCACTTCCGGCTCTCTTTTTGGCTAATTTCTCTTCCAGTTTGCGCTTCTCTTCCAATTGCATCCTCTGGAGCTCTTCTTTCCTTCTCTCTAGCTCCTTGGCGGCTTCTTCATTGGCTTTTTTCTTGAGCATTTTCGCTTCGTGAGCCTTCTGGGCTTCTTCCTGCTTCTTTTTAAACTCCTCCATATCAATTTCCATTTCGTCGGCGACGGGAGTCGGCTCTATACGTTTGGCTGCTGTTGCTGCCGTACTCCCGTTCTGCTCTGCATTAGGCTTGTACCAGAATACCTTCACAAACCTGTTATCGAATATGGGGGCGGGGGAATCGTATGCCTTTCTGGCCATGTCCCAACGTTCAAACTTCACCGTGGCAAGCTGTTTGTCCGGGGTAACATCCACTTTCAAAACATTTCCAAATTCCGAGAAGAACGCCCTGATGGCCGACTCCGCCAGTTTATCGTCGGGAATATGCTCAACCACAAGTGTTGTATTACTGCGATCATAGGAAGGCCCGGTGCCAGAGAATTCAGATCGACCACCTCTGTTCCCACCACCACCACCACCCCCTCCTCCTCCCCCACGATTTCCTCTACCTCTACCACGGCCCCTATTATCTCCATGGCCCCTGTTGTTATCATTATTGCTATGGTTATCCTGAGCAGATGAATCAGCAGAGAACAGTTGCGAATTGTTTGGATCATATTCTGCCAAAGGGTTAGCCAGAAAAAAGGCTGCTGCGATGAGCGGAAAGGAAAGGTCCCAACCATCCGCAGCGGAGGCCTCTGTTGGTACAACATAGCGATCCATTCCATGCTCATACGGGCACATATCGCCCTTCATGCAGAATCCTTTCTCATCATAATCCTTACACCTCTCCCCAACCTTTTCGATAGCTTTCTTCTCTTCACCCTTTCCAACCGCCGGAGCGCCAATTGGTGGGAAACCGCCCCATGCCACCGCAGCCGCCTGGGCAGCCAGATACGCACCCATAGGATCACCAGGCCCAGGGATAGCCCAGGGGAAGCCAGAAGGTGGGATAGGGGGCATACCGAACTGGGGGAGAGCCGGGGGAACCGGAGGGCCACCAGAGGGAACAAATGGAACCTCCACAGATCCTTGTGGATGACCATATCCACTGCCGCCGCCAATACCACCCCTCCCAGGACCTCCTCCACCAGCATGACTCCCACCACCGTTCCCATTTCCACCATTCCATCTCCCGGGACCGCTCGGAGCACCACCACCGCGTCGCGGCGCTTTGTAACCTCTGGCGCCCCCCATACTTGGCGAATATGTATCTCTCCCAGACGACCCTTCCCTATCCCGCTCAAAGTGACTCCTCTCCCTCTTGATACCCCGGATCTCCGCCCCGCGATTCTCCATCATTGGCCCTGCCGCCACCAACGACGAGTGAGAAGCCCCGGGTGAAAGAGACGGCTGTGAATTCTGTGGCTGTACTTGCTGCTGTAGTTGCTGTGGTAGCGGAGCACCGGTAAGCGTAGAGTTGACGCCCATAAAACCCTGGTTCCCAAGGGTGGCGAAGACATCCTTGACGAATTGCGCAGTGTCTGTTGATTCCCGCTCCCCTCCCCCGGAGCAAACACATTAACCCTTACCGCACCCAAAAAAGGAAGAGGAAGAAAAGGAAAAAAAACAACAAGGGGAGCAAATACGATCATGAAGAAAATCATCCAACTGCTCAATACACAATTTTTGAACCTCCTCTTGCGTCTGATCATGCCTCAACAAAGCAAGCACGTAATCCGCCAGAACATCCGAATCGGCATCGGAACTGTTTTGCCCACATTAACATCGCCACTGCCCCGAAGCACGGCACAGTACAGCAGAGCGCAAGATGGGAGGAGGAGTCGACATACATATCTTCCAACCGTTTAATAATCCACTTCTTCAACAGCGCTGCATCCCCTTCCTCGAATAGCATCTTTTTTTTTTTCCCGCCTCTCCTTCCTTTGACCTTTCACAAAAGCGACGGCGAGGAGTAATTCCCCTCCCTTCCTTCCCTCCTTGCTTCGGGCCCGGCAAGCCAAGAGTTCCGGCCTTCCCTGTTCTACTCTGTTCCGCCCCCCTTTGTTGTTGTTTGCTTCCGTCGGAGCGCGTGGGTCGAGTCGAGAGTCGGAGGCTTGTTGAGGTGGAAGGGGAAAAGGAAGAAAAGGCGGATGCTGGAGGAGGCTGTCCTGCGAACACTGGTCGGCTAGCGTGTGGCTGTTACCGGAGGAGGGGTGTGGAGGCGGGTTGTGGGTTCGGGGGAAGTCTGGCGTACGGTACTCTGAGTGTAGGTAAGCAAGGTTGTGTGGTTGTGATGATGTGTGGATGGATGCCCTTGAGCGGAAAAAAGGAAAGAAAAATGGGGCTTTACTCTGCTGGCTTCGCTTGCTTCGCTTACGGGAGGAGGTGTGGATGCGATCACTCGTTTCTCGGAAACCACACGAAACCCCAGTAGCCGCAATGCAGCCATCTCGGGCCTCACCTAGCGCATACCTTGACATGCAACGGGCGTGAAAAAGTACTCGTATTGACTGCAACAGTCGTGCTCACTTGTACCATACCGCACCTGGGCACAATACAATAGGTATGGCTTGATACGAGCAGCTTTTCCAACACATGGACTCAAGTACCCAAATCACACCACCATTCATTAGATTTCGAAAACGAACGGAACATAGCAATCAGCCAATCTCTAACCTTTTTCCTCTCCCGGTCTTCCCTTTGCTGCGGGTAGACAGCAAGTATCCGACAGATCTGGTTGGATCATGTCCTGTCACCCCCTTGTGTTCCATCCCGTACCTTATATGCACTTCTCTAACTAGCCAATCCTTTCCCACGTCGAATCTCACCACGTCTTTGTTTTGCTGTTCCTCCCACCTCATACCTCTCTAAAACCTTCTAACGCCTGCGCAAGCCGGTCCAGACCAGCCAGCCAATTCCAAACTGCCCGTCCCTTTTTTTGCACTCCACCCCTTCTTTTTCCCTTCCCTTCCATCCTTACCATTATAACTAGTTCCAACAAGACCCGAGCGGACTTCAACGGATATCATCAAATTCGTCATCACTGTCGTATCATATCAAGCTGAAGGGAATATAACAAAAGGGAATGAAACAAGGCGGTTGGAGCATGGACATAGAGAGTAAGAGGCAGGGAGACATAGAGATCAGAGGATAGCCACCACCACTCAAACGGCCCAACCCCGGAAAGGAGAAAAAGAATTCGTGACAATAAAATAAAAAACTAACCCACTGACAGATTAAAAAAACCTGAACATCCGATGCATCCCGTTAACTCCCCAGTCCCGTACTACTCCTGTTTGCCGCAGCCCCCAGATCAAAGAATTAAAATAGAAGGTGAGATATCTCTCTTTTTTTTTCTAAGGAAAAAAAAAGGAAAAAAAAAGAGATTCTCAAATGAAAAGGAAAAGTGAAAGGGTAAGCAAAAAGAAGGTAAGCAAAAAAAAAAAAAAAAAAAAGTTTATAACACCCAATTTGTTCAAAGTTCCCTAGTACCTGTCAAGAAGCCGTCCGAAATAAGCAACACCTCCAGAGCGAATCATAGGATTTTTCAAAAGCACGCAACCAGCGCAACAGTAACTTGACAGCCGCCACAAAAAGACGGGCAACGGCTCTAGCCCCGAATCGTGGCGGCGCTGCTACTACTTGCCCCCATCCTGACCCTTCCTCCGCCAGTACTAACTGTCCCTGCAGTCCTCGACGAAGCGTTTCCAACATCCCCCTTGTGTTTGGCAACCTCGGCAACCCTTTCGACGGGGCTTATATTGGAGCTTCTGCCCCCCCGGCTCTTTAACCCAGCAGTGCAGCCGTCCTTAGCCCTCTCGTTCACCGAATCAGGACCGATATCCTCGTCCGTCGCATCGTCCTCGTCCTCGTCGATGCCACCTCTTCGCATCGTTACACCAAGACCCTCCAGTCCCGTCCTCTGCTGTTTATGACGCGGTCTATCCCGAGGCCATGTGGTTGCATTGCGAGCATAATTGTGTCTGGCTCTCGACGGGGGTTGGGTGGGTGAGGGGAGAAAAGTGGCAACAGGTGGCTGTGAGTGCTGGCTGTTTTGTGCTGATGATATTGTCTGCTGGGATGACGGGCGAGAATTACCGGGCGACGACAGGAACATCAGACTCTCCACGGCATCCTGTTCCATTGACCTCTGCGCTACTAGCGGAGGCGGGGTGTTCGCTACCATTGACCCCATCGACCCCATCGACGCATTGGAATATGTGCTGTAGTTACTTAGGTTACTACCGGCAGTTGTCAGTGCTGGCGGGTTCCTGGGAGGATTGTAGTATGACCGTCTGTCCCGATCGGATACGATCTGGGCAGGGGGCTGCAAACTGCTCCCACTCCTCTGAGATGAGTGAGATGACGGTGTCATGGGTTGTGGCGTATGAGTATTTGTAGATATTCCCAGCGCCTGGGATGCTGCTTTGGCCTTGAGATTTTTGGTAATGGCCGGGTGTGGCCGGTGGTTCTTCCAAAAGGCTTCATACGTCCTCCCAGCAGCGCTACCAGCAGATATCGGATGTGCTGTGTTGGGCTCACTATTAGTTCGCGTGTGCCGTCGTATCGAATCGAGACCGGATGACTGCTCATCCCCAACGCTCGGTTCACGCTTGATACGAACGCGTGGAGAAGGTGACGAAGACAGGTACTGACCCTGAGCAACGCGCGCCTCTATCTGATCAATACTCTCGGTAGTCCAGTTATTCTCCAGTTTGAGAAGGGCATAGGTCAACCGTGTTCGGAGAGCGGTGGATATCTAATCAACATGCGTGGGAGAGAACGTGTAAGCGCAAGGTGCGGCCAATCTACGAGAAAAATGGAGGAATTGAGCATTCAATAAAGGTTGGACATACCTGTGAAACATCCCTCGGGCTTGCATCAATTCCAGTATGTATCCTCGCGAATCTTGGTGTCACCGGCGTAGCAGGCGAACCAGGACCAGACGCGCCGAGCAACGTGCCCTTAACGGTCCCGGAAGCCGTGCGTTTCGATCCCGCAGCTGACGCGGCAATGGAAGGACTGGCGGGAAAGGGATTGCACTGGGGATTTGCGCCTGAAGGGGGAACCACGGGAGTAGTGGTTGCAGATATTAGCGGAGGCGAACCACGGGAGGAAGAGGAAGGGGAATCTGGCGGTCGTCCGTCATCCTCTTCCGGCATTGAGAACACGGTTGATGCCTGCGAGATGTTACTGGTAGAATGGGTAAGTAACGGAGGAGGGTTGTGGGAGGTGTTGTGGGGAGCCGTCTGGGAAGAGGGTGTGGATAACCGCCGTTGGGGGGGCTCATAATAGTCCGGTGGAGGGATCTGTGAGGAGGGTGGAAGAGAGGATGATGATGCGGCACTGCTCTGTGACATTATGGACAAGTGAAAGAGTGGACGTGGTATGCGTGTAGTGGTTGTGGTGGTGGTGGTGGTGGGGTTCGGAAGGAGGGGAAGGAACAGAAAAGGTAGGGTAGGGCAGGGTGGGGTGGAAGGGAGAGGGGGGAGGGGAGGAGGGAGGAGGAGGGATGGGCAGCCGTTAGGATCAAAGACGGAACGAGGGACGGAGCGCGACAGACTGGGCTAAGCTCGGGGGCAACGGGTGAGGGAACGAAAAGAGGCGTTGTGGTTGTTGACGACCTGCCAGGAAGAGGAGGAAGGAGTGAGAAAGGCAGAAGCAGGGAGACAGAGAAACTGAGAAAGGGAGAGGGAGAGGGAGAGACAGAGGGCACGACCATGCAAGCGGACGGGCAAGACCACACACGCTCACTTTACTGACTCCAGTGCAGTCAACTAAAAAAAAAAACTCTTCAGTCCAACCAGCGTTTTCTCTCCCTCTCCCTCCCTCTCTCTCTTTTCCCACAAGCCCCTTCCCACTCGACCTGTCCTCCAGGTGGCTGACACGAACCAAAACAGAGAACCCACAATACCACACACACGCACACACAGGGCAATTAAACGACAGTGCCCATGGCAGGGTACAGTACAGGAAAGACACGGCAAAAGTGATCTTTTTACAGCTGTCGTAAAAACGACTGAGAGAGCGCAAAGCATCTTTTTCCTGTTCTGATCGCGATCGAACCAGGGCGGGATGGGAGGAGGGGGGGGGGCATGACACTTTTTACTTTTATCAACACGCGAAATAGAGTTGACTTCCTCCCCCGTCCTCGAACTCTCTACCGTGGGTTCCGGTTGTGCTCCCTTGGCTTCCACCTTCCCCTCTCACTCACCACCACCACCACCACCGCCGCTGCTGCCACAACCCCCCACCATGCGGCACTGGATGGGAGAATACCGTCCAAGTACAGCGGGATACAAGAGAGCAGAGGAAGGATATGGAGGAGCACCAATACCATAGGCCAAACCCCCCACACACTTCCATACCCCTCTGCTAACCAACCTATAAACATAATCATGACCACACTCCCTGCCCTGATAGCCCGAAATAATGAGGGCACCTACCCTACCGATACGTGGAACGCGGCATAGGAAAGATAGCAGGAGGGAGGAAGGGGAAGAAGGTAAAGGGGGGGAGGGAGGAAGAAGGGGGAAATCATCCCAAGCAAGACAATGGTCTCCTCACGCCCGGTCCCAACCCAAGTCCAGCATCTAATGTAGAAATAAGAGAGAAGAAAGGAAAAAAACGCGACCCAAGGCAAAAAATAAATAAGTAAGGAAATAAATAAAAAAAATAGATACAAAGACCCGCTATATTCCTCCAGCTTCCCTCCCTCCGCCCCCCTACAATCCAGAGGGTCCAGATAGGACACCTTAAAGTTGATGGAGGAAAAAACAGGAGGGCGGGTAAAATAAAACTCGTTTCCCATGATCCCCCCACGGTAAAGCACTTGCCCACTCACGTCTCCCACGAAATCACGAGACTTTGTGGCGTCGCCCAGCCTCCCCGCTTTCTTCCAGCCCCTCTTTTTCCCTCCCGCCACCCCCCCACCCCCTCCCAACCACCCCCCCAACGCGATAGACGCGTTTTACGCGTTTTTCTTCGCGTGTTCGGTGGGTTCGAGGTGAGGGAGTTACGCTTTTGTTCGCGTGGTGTCGTCCTTCCCGTCTGCTTAAGGGGTGTCAGTTGTGCGGGTTGGCACGTGATCAAAAGAGTAAGTGCCGGTGAGTTACCGGTACTCGAGTAGAGTACTGGAGCCGTGCATGGCGTAATTAGGCTACAGAGAACGGTGCCTGTAGGGGAAGGAGAGAGAACGGGATCGACCGGGGAGGCGGGCATGTGTGCCTGTGCCATGTCTTACAAGGAACCACCTCCGATATTGAAATTGAGATGAGAGTGGGGGGGAGGGATGGTCGCACCTGCACATTGTCCGTGGAATTTCGGCTGAACCCTCTCTCTTAGGGAATGTTTCGTGACTACTCTGCTTGTGGTCGTTTCCTTTTTATAAAGAGGCAGCCCCCCCCCTCCTCCCCCCAGGATGTTACCCGATCGGTTTCCTTCTGTTTCGTGAGAAATCCCCTTACAAGCTGAGTTCCCCACCCCGGCACCGGCGCGTGGATAACCACACCCCCACCATACGTATATGTATATGTACCTACGCAACACTCCCTAAGGCTCTAGCCAGCCCCGTTCAAAAACATTGCTAGAAGGATCGCGTCGCCCCCTCTCCAGAGGGATCTCTCGAAGCGTGAAAGGGTCCAAAACCACAATTCCCACCGGCCCTCCACTCTGTCCAATCAAGGTATCGGGGTACTTGCCTCTCAATATGCCTCCTCCCATCCTGCAGCATCATCTCCAACCAGGGAAACCGCTTACAGTATACGGATTTTGGAAATACACGTGGCCCGTGCATCCGCCGAGCAGCGCTTGAACCACGGCACGAGCCGAAATGCCATTCCTGCCATACCTGAGATTGTGTTCCGGGACCCGATGGGTAGGCAGTGCTGACCATGAGCGGTCACGGGTTATCACTCGGTGATGAGACCTTTTGAGTCTTGGAGGGGTTTCACCTTCTAAGGTGCCGAGTGGGGAGAAAGAGAAACTTCGGGTGCGTGATCGGTATCGGCTGCACACGTTCCACAAGTAGTCCACGCGATTTGGTCCGTGATCTGTGCCCTGGCTGCTTACGTGCCCGAGAGGAAACTTGTGGCGGTGCCAAGGAGTTGAATGATTGAATCGTGTGCCAGACCGCGCTCCTCGGCGAGGCGACACCCTCAACGGGGAGCTAGGGGTCTAAAATGGCTTTGTTGTACTCAGCGGGGAGCTGGCCTGATCGGGGGAGGGGAAGATTCTTTTTTTACTATACTTTGCGGGTGGGCCTAAGACACAGAATCACAGTTCAATTGCTCAAGCTCTTATGGCGGTATCGTGGCGTTTGTGGGATTTTCCGGATTGCATGTGAGGTTTGCATACGGTACTATTGCCGTGCAGTCAAGGAGAGGAGTAAATGTGAGTAGGTTAGCAGGCTGAAAGCATGCTATTCTAATCTTCGGAATTTCATGTCCTCGTTCTTGGGTGAACTCCTTCGAGCCGTAGTCACCGGTAACCAGAGCACGGTTCGAATACCCGCATAAACTTGTGCATCAATCACTGCATTCCGCCAATCCCCACACTCGATCTACTAGCAAGTATCACACGGTATTCCAATGGGTACCCCCATTATCACAATGATAATTCGTATCCGGAGCTCCGTGGTGTGTGCCCGAAGTCATACACTTCTCACCGCGGCGCTACTACTACCGCTGCCGCAATTATACTACTGTACCACCGGTACTGATGATATTGGACTACCACCGCTTTTAATACCAGTCAGAGCAGTACCATACTGTAAAACCATGGGATGATCCCCCATCCTTACTACACCGCCGGGAAACAGCATGCAGAGAATACCCCGACAAACACTCCTGCACTATCACACGTTAGCACTGTATGTCCACCTGTAGACAATAGACTCAGAAAAAGGCAACCACAAACCTCCAAGAGGGAAGAATATCCCGACTAATCCCTTCACCAACCCCCCAGAAATTCCATTTACAAACAATCCCTACGCGCAATATCATTATAACATCCGATCCTCCCAAAAATATCCCACGCCCCGAAAAACCAATCCCGAATGTTCAACCTCACATCCGGAACACTCCAGAGGTATGCCGGAAACGTGTGGTTGGAACCACACCACCAGCCGCGCTCGGAACGGTACCTGAATTATAACTCGTATATGCCGGACCCTTCGGCCGGTACAGTACTCTACATAACGACGGGGGTTTGTGGGATCGCGTCCGTGGACCTGGGATCTTGGGATCTACAGTGCAGTACCGGTGCTCTACCCGCTGTGCGTCGCGTCCGTATTGGTGGTGGTGGTGGGGCAATTAGTGCACTTTTTTTTTGTTTGTTGCTGCTGCTGCCTTGTGGGATGGGCTGGGGTGGGTGGGGGTCTCGTCAGATACTGGCACTGTAAGCCTTGGGTTTGGGGATGAGGAGCTCCCCGGGGGGGTTAGCGTTTCTGCCATACTGTGTTGCATGGTGAAATTGGCACATGGGTGGTGGGTTGGATCTCGCCAACTGGTGTTCGCGGTTCTGGCGGTTTGTGAGACTAAACGTATGGTTGAATGGCGGGCTAGTTTTTGGCGATAATCTAATAGCCCATTTCAAGAGTATCTATGGTGGTGTGTGAATGAGTGGGTATAGCTAGCATAACTTATCTAGAGTATATAATGGATATCAACTTGTAAGTGAGTGATCGCTAATCCGTCCATCCGTCAGATCGTATCTATCGTGCACCATCTCCGGGGCTGTGGAGGGAGGAGGAGGAGGAAAACAAAGTAAACGGGAGCGAAAAAAAAGCAACGCCGGAAGAGGGAAAAAAACAAAAACAAATCAGCCTCATAATATATATCATTCCCGCTCTCCATCTCACAAGAGCACTACACCCACCAGTACCGCCCCAACAACCCCCCACCCCCACCCGCCAACTCCAGCACTCCTACCTCCAAGGGAGCACGTAAAGCCCTGCGTCTTCCAATAATCGCACCCAAATCTCTGTCCCCTCAAGTCCATGACAATGGTCTGCGTAGCCGTCGCTCCGGCCTCAATAACGCTCTGGACGGTAGTCACAACCACCGCCGTCCCTCCCCCTCCCCCTCCTGTCCCTCCGGCACTCCTGTCAACGGTGACAGTGCTAACGAGGTAAACCGTTGTCGCACTCGTGGCGACAAACACGCTGGTCTTGATGGCGGCATCGTCACAGCCGACGCTGACTCCGGAGTTGCCGGTGCCGCAGTTGTTTATGCCAGAGTTTGAGGTGCCCGAGTTGCCAACGCCCGAGTTGTTGCAGCCCGAGTTGTTTGTGCCGGAGTTTGGAGAGCAGGTTTGTTGCGGGGTTCGGCGGTGGATCACGGCGGCGGCGGAGGCAGTGGCG